ATATATTGGTCAGCTCTATTACACCACATTTCATCATGACAATTACATCCATGGGCTGGCATTGCTGGGGTGTTTCATGTACATTTTCATCGTGCGTCGATCCCTTATTTGTATCAGCAAATCAACTCACCATACAGGTGTTTTTCTCATTGTTCTCATCAGAACACAGTGGCCATATATCTGAGTGCATCTTTAAATTGAAGAAAAGATCAATTTAATCGTGCATGTACCCCTGATCTATACATACAACCTCACTCATGAACCTCCTACTCCCCGCAATAGTATGTGCACAACGGTTTGTGGACATCGACTCCACTGGCAACGATGAGGATCTGGTGCGGTTCTTTTGCCTGCACGTGATTGAGAATGCGCTCAAGACGAAGTTAGACTCACAACCCACAGAAGCGTTGATGCCGATCAACGAAGTGCTGATGCGATGGTTACAGGTGTGTTTAGTGTGTTGTATATAACGATAGTGTGTGTTGCTTGCGGGAGGTAGTATGGTTAAGTAGGCTTTGGCGTATGTGTGGCCATGAGACTGTGGTTTGCTGATGCGATGGTTGCAGGTGTGTTCAGTGTGTTGTATATAGCGATAGTGCGTGTTGCTTGTAGTAGGTAGTATGGTTAAGTAGGCTTTGGCGTATGTGTGGTCATGAGACTGTGGTTTGCTGATGCGATGGTTGCAGGTGTGTTTTGTGTGTTGTATATTGCGATAGTGTGTGTTGCTTGCAGTAGGTAGTATGGGTAGGTAGGCTTTGGCGTGTGTGTGGACAGAGGCGTGATGCGATGGTTGCTGGTTTTCGCGTGTGTTGGTGTTTTGGTCTGTGTATGTAAGTACTTAAGTTTCGAAGACGAGCATCCAATGGTGTGTGAGGTAAGGGTGGCTGTCCGCGTATGTATATCTGCACAAAGCTGTTTGTGTGGACTTTGGCAAGTCTTTCTCTGTATGTACTGGTATATATATATATGTGTGTGTGCATGTAAAATAGCTGACATTCTGTACTAGACCTATGCCGAGACACAAATGCCATCAGTATACATACTGTGTTGTTGCCTCTTGTGATTATACTTTCATTTATATATCAGTGTTGTTTTTGTGGTACGAGTGTGTTTGACACTGATGCACGCATGTTGGTATATGCCAGTGTTTACTTTTGTAGCATGAGTGTGCTATGAGTGTGCTAGGAGGATGGTCTCAGGTGTGGTATGTGTCGCAGCTTCAAGTGTGTTGCATCATACTACGATAAAGTAAGAACGCACGTGGGTCTACCCGCATTCCAGTCTTCCCGTATACGGGTCTTAGAATAACGTTCACTTGAAGGTGACTCTCATGATGAGGAAGCAACGAGTTGCGCATGTAACACATTGTCTACTTGAAATCGCTTCTGAGGGGCGATATGAAGGGCTGTCTCGCAATTCCTGTTCAGCGTACACACTTCAGATATTCATCTACCTACTGCCTGTGATGACGCACACACTATATCAACGCTATTTTGAAGCACGTCACTGCGTTACAACCAACTCACGCACCCCTATCAATGACTCATCATACTATTAACAGGATAAAGGCCCCGAAGTCGAAGCACAGACCTTTGTTTGGAACAAGTTTGCGTACTTGTTTGTACTGTTGTTTAGGCGGATGTATGCAACGCATGCAACACAGATGATGTCGGAGCTTGTTGAGTTAGTGGCCAGCGGGCGCAATCGCGAGCGTATGGCGGATATGTACTTGCGGGTGTGCGCAAGTATTCATGAGGGTAGGACTTGAAC